ATACTGATAAACAACTTAAAAAAACACTAGCTACATTGACGTATGCCTAATTGCTATTCACTTTTCTTTCTCCTGTCCCAATTCAAGGGTGTTACAACTGCATCTGAGTAAACACCCAAAAAAACTCGTGATAACGTGTGACTCACGCAAGGTAAACAAACACTGAATGTGTGCCTTAATCGCATTTTGTTATTTAGTCATATATCCTTTGGATACTTCGTGCTTCCTGGTTTGTCAGTTCTGTGCTGATTTTTCTCATACCACTTACCAGTCGCTTTGATTTTAATACTTTTTGATGCATGAAATATACATACGTATTTATTCAAAAAAAACTGAGTATCCAAAGGATGTCTACAGCCCGTTTTAAGGCGGCTCCGACGCCGTGAGTTTCAAGCCATTTACAAGGGTTAAGCTGCTTCAAAATAAACACTCCATTTTTCAGTGTTTTTGAATGAAATTCATACAGTATGTTCAGAAGATAATTGCCCAAGGTGTTATACGAGCACTTTTTGAAATTTTGTTTTTGCACAAGTTTTTCAGTTCAACTTCGCGATTTTTTTAAAAGGAACTTAGTGAAAAAAATGAAAAAGTGGCTTTATAGCACCCTGTGGGGTTTTGTTTTCAGCACTCTGTGAGAATTTCATCCAAAAATATCAAAAAATAAAGCGTCAATTTCGAAGCGCGCAAACCTCTACAAATCGTATTTTGGATGAATTTTGTCTACTGTTTCGTGCTGCCAACCCAAGCGTTGCGGCGGAATGTACGGACTAAGAAAGGACGTATTCAGATAATTTGGTGGCCCAATTTCATATAATATCGCGTAGATAAGTTGTTCTGCAAATAGGTACTCATAATCGCGATCGCTGATACTCCTCGACTTTAAAGCCGTTACACTTCCCACGTCATTGGCGAATCGCGAAAAATTTCTAAAATGAGATGTTATGTTTTTTTAAGTCATATGAAAAACTGTATCACTCATCAACTTGGAAATAACCGTTCGGATTTTTATGAAATTTCCACACGGGGTTACTAGTATGCCAAAGCTTTGTACTTTTAGTATGAAAAACTGTATCACTCATCAACTTGGAAATAACCGTTCGGATTTTTATGAAATTTCCACACGGGGTTACTACAGAAAAAAATTGTACTGCTTAAAAAGTGGGGGTTGGGGGAGGTGATTCTAAATGTTGCATCTTTGATGTCAGTGAAACACGTTCTATTATTAAGAAGCTTCTGATCCCAGTGATTACAGGAAATCCGACGAATAATGTGCTCACGATTTGAAAAAGTCGGTACCTGCTCTATAGGTTTGCCACCAAGAGCCAACAGATCTGCAACAACCGACAGTAAGGAAGAATAAATTCGGATATCAGTCCAGTCAAGTATACGCGAATTTAGCGTGGAACTTTAAAATTATCGATATGTCAAGGAAATATGTTTTTGAGAACGATAATTTGGTAGATTTTATACCTGCATTTTGATTTGAATTTCATGACCCGCGAAATGTACCCATTTCGCCGTTACCTTCAACTTGTGTTTTGCAGTTTGTGATGTTTTATGCTTTTTACAAAATTTTGTCTTTGCGCAAGAATTATGGTGTATTGAAATGCTTACTATTTGTGCTCAACTTCTTGTTATTTTAAAAAGATCCTGGTGGATAAAATCGAAAAAGTGGATCGTTAGCACCCTGTGGACTTTGTTTTTAGCACGCTGCAAGAGTTTCATTTGGAAATAATAAAAAATGAAACGTAAGCTGTGAAGTGCAAATCGGTTTTTGGGCGAAATTCGTCTACTGTTTCGTCCTGCCAGTCCAAGCGACGCGACGCGACGCGACGGTGCGTTCCGACTAAGAAAAAATGTATTAAAATAATTTGATATATTTCCTAAAATAAATTCAAGAACTCAAATTAAAATTCGTTTATTCATGTCAGTAAACACAATTATGTTTACAAGGGTCATGTGGTACATGGTAACAATTGAATGAGGGTCATAAAAATATCTTATGCCCTCAAAATAAGAGGAAATAGTTAGGTAGTTTTTGCAAAGCAATAAACAGATAGGCTTATACCTGGATTAAGTACATTTCTTGTCTACGGTAATAGGTAGATGGAGGCGATGCTGCCAGAAATGGATGTGTGCAATCAATAAACAAACCACAAGACTGAACTGCGGTGTCCAATGATTTTTGAATTGCCTTTTTTATAGCCTAACTCGAAAACTCTGTTGGGTATATGATGGAGTTTACTAGAACTTTACAGCTTGTTGTCTGCCTTCTTCTCCAAACTTAACCAAATCGAGACGCTGTCAATCTTATCCTCCGATGAAGGCGCGACAAAGTACAGTCCTGTGATTTGGTGACTTGTTCGATCTGCAAAATCTCGTCGTCACTTTTTTTAAGTTTCCCTAAAAATTTTCGCTTAGCAACCTACAAATCAATGTGGTTAGTGTCAGGTTTTTGATTGAATTCGACATAAAACTATTCATTTTCCTTGGAATTCCTATCCGAATTGTTAGTTATTTTTATATCAGCTTTTTTTGGTCTGAGTTTCTTTTCAAGATTCTTGCGTTTGAGTCTTTATTCCATCTTAACGATAAGCGAGGTTGGACTAAGCATAGAACGCAAATGTATTTAGAACACATATACAGGCCGCTGGGTAATGTGTCTCACTACAGCTGCAACACATCTTCCATGGTATGACCTCTTCTTGCAATAATTTATTCGCTTACCCCAATGTATTTTGCGATTATAGAGTTGACCTGCTCCACACTATTGTTGACCTCATCGTGAATTAAAATGGTCGCATATGACCCTTTATTGTCCATTATCCAACAATTCAACAACACAATATCGACGAACAGTAACAAGGGGAGAAAAATACTGAATGATCACTTGCTGAGTACCAAAATAAGAAACGATTTACATTCTAGATCGCTAATCGAAATCTCTGTTATTATAAACATTTACCTTGGTATGCACCCGCAGTCATCCTTTCCTCTTTTAGCGCCGACGACCGTCAAGGGCCAGCCTACCCTCGTTTCCTTCCCCCCCCCCTGATTGTAGGAGCTCCGTTAATATAAGATACAATAGGAAGTACAAATGACTTAAAGTGCAGTGATATGATGTGGAATCCTGAGGCACAATTATTAAAATATCTATAAACTTTATATAGATTGTAGATGCTTCAAATAAATAGCGGAACGTATCACATTCCATCATGACATTTATTTGGTGTGCTTCATGTATTTTACTAAACGATCATAAGCTTCACTATGTCATATTACGAAAGCTCGATCACTTGTGGAATTCAAAAATATTCTGCGAAGCTTCAGGCTTCACCCTTCGGAGCGTGGTGGAATTTAAAAAAGCATTGTAAAGGCTATCTTGCTAGATGTATTTTTTTAATGCTGACTGGAGTGTACAGTTCATGAGCTCCTTTCAAATAATGTTTACAAATTATTGCATTCTTTGGAATTCATACATTTTTGTCTCTCGAGTAGCCTGTGTGCATAATTTAAAAATGAATTATCATCAGCGTATGAGATATACTTAGTCAATCCAAAGTTTTGCTATAATGTTGAATTTTTATTTTTAGCTGTCTTTATTTGGTATCAAAAACGTGACTTAATAACAGGATACCTTGAAAGCAATGAATTAGAGGACGTTAAAAACTAATAAACAATTTTACATTCAGCAAATGGTGATCGAAATCTGTGTAAACTAGAATGTTCCGACGATTTCAGCCATTGCGAAGATAATCAATGCTTAGCACCCACTCAAATTCAATTTAATGATAGATTTTTCTAGTTCTCGATTTTGCGTCAATTGAGTAATTTTCCAGGAATATGTAGTCAAAACATGTAATTTGCAAAAAACAGACCAATTTGGTTGTGCATATCCGCTTTTAAACATGAAAGAATTACTAGTGAATTACTAATAGAAATCATATACCTATCAATCTAAAAAAAGTACTCGTATTTTATATCGGATGGCAGAACTTTGTTTTGATCAATGAATTTCAGTAATTGTAGCAGTTAGCGTTTTTCAATATAGGGTGCCCTATACATTTTTACATGTCTGGAATCTGTGAATGAACATTAATTCAACATCTATATTTCAATTATCTTTTTCCCAGGACATCGAAAATTGCTCCAATTATCACTAAGCAGTACTCTCCTAAAAAGTAAAATTGTTACGAGGCATTTCTTCAAAACATGATTGCTGTGAGGAAAATGCTTGAAGAAGACCGGCGATTGATATACCAACAGATAGAAGAGACCTTACACCTTCATGCACCAGCAATTCATTCAATCCTGCATGACCATTTACACGTAAGGAAGCTTTGTTTTCTCTGGGTAATGTTTGATAAGGGGCAATCTCGGTATGTGAACATCATCGTGACAGGTGACGAGACCTAGCTCTATTATTACGATGTGCCAACCAAGGCTCAAAACAAACTTTGGGTCTTTGATGATGAGGACACACCCGTAGCTGTCAGAAAATCCCGATTTGTTAAGAAAAAAATGATAGCTGTATTTTTCAAATCAAGGGATTGTGGATCGTTTCATTTTGGACACACAGAAGACCGTCGCGGCTAAGTGGTACATGGAACAGTGCCTGGCTAAAGTCATAGAGTCTATGAAAAACCTGCGGCCAAAGTCAAGAATGGACACTTGGTACCTCCATCATGACAACGCTCCAGCTCACTGCACCAAAGCCTGCAGCGAGTGTTTAACCACTACTGGACTGAAACTTATTGAGTATCCTCCTTACAGTCTAGATCTTGCTGACTGCGACTTTGCACTGTTTCCTCATTTGAAAATGAAGCTATTTATCGGACGGAGAAGTGTATCGAATGTGGTGGAAATTACTTTGAACAAGTCAATAAATAAAGCTGTATTGCAAAACTTTTTGTGTACCCTTTCATAGTCTCTTTGACCCAACTGATTATCACAGACCACTCTGACTCTGTCAAACTGTATTAGCATATTGAATAACTTACCACTCTGCCGCCTCCAAACTCCCAGCATTTCACTATATTCTTTATCATTTCACCTGAAAAAGAAAGAACATCATGAGTATTCTATCATTTCTTAGAGCATCAGCGACAGCATTATTCCTTGATTTCCTTAAATTTGGAGCACAGTCATAGTCAGTAGTCAGGCGGAACCGCATAGCGACGCTTTGTTGCACGAGCCAGTAGACTACACAGTCGAGCAAGTTCGCAAGCACTCGAGGCCGCGGCTCGCACTGTGAACAAAATTAAATCATGTGACTTTAGGTCCAACCAAAATTATAATTTTTCTTCAATAACCAATATCTAAATTAATTTGAGGATCAACTTATTTTCTCGAATACTAGTTAGCAATGCCAAGGCGCACTTCTTTTTTCTTTGTTCTGCCTCCTTCCCTTTTTCTTCTCCCTGATTTTGTCTGGTATCTGGGCAGCCAGACCTGACAGACCTACTGACTTTCAATACTTTGACGAAGAACAAAAGTACTACGGACCGCTCTGACAGACAATGACGAGTAGAAGTGATTCGTTTTTAAGAAAATTAAAAAATCTTTATTCATCTTAATTTGTTTAGATAATAAACAAAAATACACGAAAATATGTTCAAAATGTTGCCCGTTAGGGCTTGCCAAATCTACAAATCGATTATAATTTAAAACGGAAACTTCCAAAATAAACAGCAATTTGGAACATTAGACGTGGCAACAACCAAATAACAACGTGAATTTTTTTCCGCATTTTTCTCATCAACACAGATATCCTGGGCGACCTGTATTTATTGTTATACCTGCTTATTTATTGGTTGCTAAGGGTAAGAAGGACTTTAATTTGCTGTCATTTACCTTTGTAACAATCTAGGGATAGTGAAAATGAATTTATTGATTCAGATTTTACTTCAAAAATGGTTTACATACTAGACGAAAGAGTGGAAACGATTCTAATTTATGATGCCCAAAATCAATGTGCTCGACAAACTGCCGTCACGTTTAACGCCCGACATCCGGACATCGCATAGGTATGTTTTGGAACTTGCTTCTAAATTTTCTCAAACTGGATCTGTTGCAAATAAAATACGTGATGATCGGAGAGTTTTGGATGAAGCCGCTCAAGCTGAAGTTTTGGGTCATTTTGGAATAACTCCTAATACGTCAGTGCGCAAAATTGTTGCTGCGACTGATATTTCATCAGGCTGTGTACACACAGTTACTAAACGCCATAAATTTCATCCATTCCAAATAAAAACATTGCAAGAGTGAACCAAAGGTGATTTCGATAGGTGAGTTGAGTTTTGTGAACAAGTGACTGCAGTGATTAACGATAATATTCATGTAAAGAATATCTGCTTCAGTCATGAATGCACATTTTATCTAAATGGATTTGTTAATAACCATAACGGCAGGTATTGGAGCAATGAAAATCCTCATGCTTTTGTAGAAGGGCATACCCAGGACTCACAAAAAATTAATGTATGGACAGGTTCATTAATGGAAATTTTAATGGAGACATTCATTTGGATATTTTTTTATACTCCAACTACCACGACGGCCTAATGCCTAAGCACGCATTGGGTACCGTGGGGCTATAGGGGGATACATGGGAAAGGGGGAACGCCACACGGACTCTGGCGAGGGAACACGTGTGCATGCAACATGCACACATTCTGGCTCTGCCTACGAGATCAGCCGGGTCGTACCTCCACGTTCGACAGTCAGGGACCGTCTACCACCTACGGACAATCACAACATCCATAGCCAAGAGAAAAATGTCTCCTGGGACGGGACTCGAAGCCGCACAGCGCACGGCGACTGATCAAGAGACCGAAGAGTCTACTACTGCGGCCACCGCTGCTGCCTGTGGAAAATACCATCAATCCGCTTATCACTGAAACCATTGAAAACCAAATCGAAGGAAATGGAAACCCTATGCTTGATGAGGCTGAAATATTCTTCTAGCAAGACGGCGCTCCTCCCCAGTATGTTCTTCCGGTTCGGCAATGGCTATGGATAGAGCGAAGAGGGCCTATAGAATGGCCTGCTAGATCTCCTGATTTTACGCCATTAGACTTTTTTCTGTGGAGCTATTTGAAATCTATTATATATTATTTATTTTTATTATTGTACTTACTCCCCAACCTGAATGTCTGGATGAACGTCGTCAACACATCATCGAAATCTGCCATGATATCTCACAAAATGTTTTTGAAAATGTCCGTCAGGAATTTGGACATCGCCTATATCATTGTTTGGCCAACAACGGGCAGCATTTTGAACACTTATTGAAATAAAAAGTGAGATTTTCGTGTGTTTTTTTTTTCTATCTGAACAAATTAAGATAAATAAAGATTTTTCTAATTTTCTTGAAAACGAATCCACCGATTTTAAAAAATCAAACGTCAAAATAAAGGACTTTGGAAGACTTTTCCAACAAGCTACTACTCGACACTGATTGTCGCTTTAAATAATCAAGGAAATGATCCTGAGTGGCCGAGGGTGAAAGAGGGTTTTTGGTTAAAAAGTTGTCCCGCTTGACAAACCTTTTGACGGGGCTTGGCGTTTGTTTTTTCTTTAATTCAGTGGTTTTTGATAAATTTGTGGTGCAAAGTTTTCAAATGAACACCCTGTATATAGAAATACAATGTGGCAAGGTAGCCTTTTATTGAAGTTCTTCAGGTTTTTTGAAATCTTGTTCTGTGGCTCTATAATTTTAAACCGATTCATTTCTTGTCCGGCTTGGACACAATTACTACCGAAACTTTTCATAAAGATTGTGCAGTGTTGAAAATTGAAAAAATAGGCAACCTTTCATGACTGCCGCTAGTGAGCACTTTCACATTGATAAAGTTCATACAAACTCTCGTTTTTCTAACCATCCTGATTTGATGTCGATGTCAAAAGTGGCGTATCGGAAGGCCTGGGGTATGTTATTTTTCTCGCACTAGAATCTCTCTTATATTTTGCTACCTTGCAATTAAAATTAAATACCACATATTTTGAAAGTGTTGAGACAGTCGATGAGAAACGCCCATATACGGATGATGGCGAGAAAGTGTATGGTTAGCTGTTATCGTCGACTCTATTCGCACCATACGTACCCTAGTACGAAATATCATTTTAAAGCCTCAACATCTCGTAAACTTCCCATGTAAGAGCTTTGGGTCTGTGCACATCTTTGTTGTGTGTTGAGAATACACCGATGTTTTTCTTTTGTGCAGTTGTCAAGATTTTTAGGGATCCATTAAAAAAATATTTCAACAACTTACCGCTGCTTTTATATCGAAGCAGCCGCGCCGGCAGAAGCCTAAATGCCGGAACACCGTGGCTGCTATGATCATCCCAAAGAAATTTTGTTAATACGATTTTTGAACTGCCTAAGGTTAATAGAACTGGAAAAACCTTCCTCTTGTAGACTGTTCCACAATCTCGACACCCTCGGGACAAAGGAGCGGTCGTATCGGCCAGTTCTGGATGTACGAAGTTCGACACGGTTAGGATGGGACGCCAAAGTCAGACGGGTCTGTCTGGAAGGCACATCGCGCGGCGGCATCATGGAAGAGAGCTCTGAGGAGCAAAGCACGTTGGTGTAACGGTAGAAAAGAGCTAGATCGCCGACAGCCCGCTGGTGCGAAAGAGTCCCGAGACTGTCTATTAGAGAAGAGTCATCGATCAGTCGGATCGCCCTCCTCTGGACAGCATCGAGCATGGATAATGTAGTCGAGGCGGCAGCACCCCAAACGTGTGAGCAATACTAGAGGCCAGGCCTTATCTGGGCCTTGCATAGAGTGAGAAGGTCATGCGGAGAAAAGTACTTCTTAGCCCTAAACAAATAGCCTAGCTTTTTCCCAGCGGCTGCAGCTATTGACGAGATGTGTTCGTGCCAGATCAGGTCCTCGGTGATCTGGACTCCGACCAGCCGAAATGAATGGCTCTTTGTCAGAACTCGGCCATCCATCGAAACCGGGTGAGCGCAGGGAAGCTTTTTTTTTCGTCAAAGTACAGTACTGTGTCTTGGAAGCATTGAACTGTACAAGATTGTTGCGTCCCCACGCAGTGATAGCCTCCAGGTCTCTTGTCAGAGAGGAAGTCATCGCTAGTCTTCTTTTTTCCAACTCGGCGGCAGACATCGGCTTGTCACTCTGAATTCCTACATGTAAAGTGCTGTCTTCAGCGAAGCTGTGGATTGGGTTGATCGTGCAGGAAAGGAGGTCGTTGATATGTAAGAGAAACAGTGTCGGAGCCAAGACCGATCCCTGGGGACACCCGCGTTGACGTTGTGGGATGAAGAGGAGAACTTATCAATTACGACGGATATCTTGCGGCCAGAGATAAAGTCAGCCACCCATCTGATCGAACGCTTTCGTGATGTCAAGAGCAACGCCATGAGCCTCACCATAAGAATTCAGTGACGTAAGCTAGGAGGTCCCCTGTGGATCGTTGGTGCCGGAAACCATACTGCCTGTCGCTAATCAAACTGTGACGTTCGAGATAGTCCAGAAGCTCGCGATTTATACACCTCCCCATCACCTTACTTAAAACAGAAAGCAGAGCTATAGGCCTGTAGATGTAAGGTTCGGTCTTAGATCCCTTTTTTGGGATGGGTTGGACATGAGCAAATTTCCAGTTTTCTGGGAAGGTGCCGGATTCATAAGATATCTGGAAGAGACGCGGAAGAACTGGAGCAAGCTCCGCTGCACACCTCTTCAGTACGAAGGCAGGAATCAAGTCCGGACCAGAAGCTTTGTTGATGTCGAGCGACAAGAGCACTCGTCTTACGGTCTTATGCCTGAATGTTACCTCCCGCATAGTGTAGGGAACCCTTTGAATTGACGGCACTTGGGCGTTGGGGGGGGACATCCATGGTGGAGTTGGCAGCAAGGATCTTGGCAAGCACTTCCGCCTTGGTCTTTGAGGTGAATGCAATAGTTCAATCCTGACACGTAAGTGGTGGAAGGCTACTGTATGAGAAGTTCTTTTCAATCTGCTTGGCCAGCGTCCAGAAAGACCGACTGCCATTGCGCTGCGACTTTACCCTGTGCCTAACTTTTATATCGTGCTGGTTTTTGGCATTGCGCACTGCTTCTTTATATTTGTTTCTGGACTCAACGTCGGCGTGTCTGTTCTCTAGAGTAGAGTTTTGTAAGAAGGTTCTGTGTGCCTTGATCTTCTTAAACCAGTCGTTGGACCCTGGTCTAGGCACTTTCACTGTGTGAGCGATGTATTCCTCCATTCCAACGTGTATAATTTCGGTTATCGAAGAACAGACAGCCGACGCATCCGCTTCAGTGAAACAGACATCTTTCCAAGGAAAGCTTGAGAAGAAGTCGCTGAGCCCCACCCAGTCGGCATGTCCGTAATGCCAAGTTTTGCGGCCTGTACGAGTTTCTGCTGCCACAGCGGTTTCTGACCGAAACCTAACCTCCACAACACCGTAGTCTGAGTAGTCGAGGGGGACAGGACAGCAGTGCTGTAAGGGACAGGATGCGTGGTCAGAAAGAGGTACAGTAGGGCTCGTCACCAGCTGAGTCAGCCTTTGAGTAAGAGCTTCGACTGCACGTCCTGCTCCATCGGTCTTGTTTGAGCCCAACCAAAGCTCATTATGGGCTTTGAGGGCATTGGGATCCATTAGAAAAAATATTTCAACAACTTCCCGAAACCATAAAAATTATTATTTTAAACACTAAGACTATAAGCTATACTAATTTTCCCATATCAAATTTTAGTTTAAGTGACAATCTCGATTGATCAATCTGTTATTTGAATATTTCATGCATGTTTATTATGTTACTAGCTCATATGTAATGGTACATTGAAACATTATTTGTTTCGTTTCTCCTTTACTAAGATGTAAAGAGTACACAAAATTATAACTAACACTATTAATTTTTTGTAATGATTATATCACACACATTCCGTATGATAAAAAAATACACCAAAACTTTACAAGAAAAAATCATCAAGGTCAAGCAATCGACAACACATCAAGAGAGTGTTAAGTAACATGCAACTTTCTTCAGTTGGCGGTATTGGCGCAACAGGTGGAACAGGAAATTCTGATCGGAAACAATAAATGATATCTGCGAAAAAAATTCATCCGGCTTGTCGGTCATTGTATTTCTCATGACATTGATATTTGCACGCCGTAGGTAATACTCGCTATTTTATTATATATTCGTTTAAAGTATTTTTTATGCGAATAAGGACATTGCATTGCATTGCAGAATCGAGTATTATGGTAATAAATTACTTATGGCAAAAGGTGCATACTGTTGTCGTAATTCTAACGTTTATAGATTTCTCGACACCTTTAGCTACACTTTAGTAGGACTATCGAGATAAATATGTAAAGAGAAGAGAGGAAGAAAATGAAATATCACTCAACCGCAATCTCAAAATTTTTGACTGTCGCATTTACGCTAAAATCGAAGCAACAATTTTATAATCCCAAATTTAGACTTGTTCACTTGACCTGTTCTGGAAATAAATGGTAGTACATCAAAGGAAAACACTACATGTAAAGTTGAAGTTGCATTATGAAGTGAAGTTTGAAATATTTACCTCGAAGTATTGATGAGCAGGAACTAAGGTGCTGGTGATGAATGAAGTGAGCCGGTTTAATGGACTCAACATCTATTTTCAACGCCAAAGCCGAGGCAAATAGTTACAGATCAAACTATGACATACTAATTATGACTATTCATTGAACAAAATAAATGTTTAAATATCTAAATTAAATGCTTAATGTTGTTGAAATAAACCTTTTTGGTTGGATAGGGCCAGGATTTCAATAGTTTCTTTCAATATTCCATTGGAACGATTATGATAGCACTGATGTACAGTTTAAACACAACTGACCATCAAAACAATTTCCAGCTAATGCGTTCTTAGATAAACATGTAAATAGTTGCGCATGTTACTTATAATAAAAATATAAAAATCTATAATCCATTTACTTAACATAAACGTTAACATCTACAATTGTACATGATAACTAAGATAAATATTTTGCAATGAAGTAATCTTTTGTGTCCATTCAAATTCATGATATATTTGTAGTATACATAAACTTGGTTTTCCATATTCCTGATCAAAGTTTATGTTTATTATCACCACCGAACAAATACGTGTAATCAGTTTAAAGACTTGTTCAATATTTGTGGGAAAGTCGGACGTCTCACTTTTTCGTTGCAATATTTGAGACTTTATAATTCTATGGATCTTTGTAACTTCTGGTAGAACTAGGTTTCATCCTACCTAGGTAGATAGATAGATATATAGACATTTATTTCCAACAGGTACATGTGCACCTAATAACAGGAAATGCGTAAAATCAAATGAACATTTCATTTTATGTAAAAGAAGAAATATAACTAATTTTATATAAAAATAAACACTTGAATTATATATTCGATATTTCGAAAAAGTTATATATTAAATGTGATCCTCAAAATAGAACTATAAACTAGAGAGATATGGGAAAAATTGATGCCACAGCTTTTACATATCAATTTAAAATTGTTACAAATTATCGAAATAGGCGACTTAGCTAAAATGTTGGTTCTAGGGCATTCACAATAAAATTTCTGGTGTTGCGCCTGGGCACGGTAAATGGAATTTAGCTAACAAAAATTCACATATTATGTCCCCATGAATGAGTTTGTACAAGAAACTCGTTGTTAGAAAGATACGTCGTGTGTTAAGAGAAATAAAGTTTGCTTCATTAAGCAGCAAAGAGTAATCAAATTATCTTTCCGGAAATAAACCAGCTTTCTTAAAATGCATATATTTCAAAAATTTTCTCGTTCTATCTTACTAATGTGTGTTGCGCAATGTGGGTACCAAATCAAGATACCATACTCCAACTTGCTACGTACATAACTTATATATAGAATATTTAGTACTGAAATAGAAAATTCTCTAGCGTTCCTCATGATAAATCCCAAAATCCTATTAGCCGACGAAATAGTCGTGTCGATATGAGTTGAAAAAGACATTTTTTGATCAAATATGATTCCTAAGTCATCGATTTGCTCTTGACGCTTAAGGCTAACGTGTCCAAGGTAGTAGTTAAAATTTAAGATGTTTAATTTCATTGTGAAAGACACAACAAAGCTCTTGTCCGCATTTAAGTTAAGATGATTGGCATGGCACCATGAAGACACTATGATAATATCTTGCTGCAAGACAAGGCAGTCATCGATAGTATTGACATAGGTGTATATTTTAAGGTCATCTGCATATAATAACTTTGAGCAGTGCAAGTCAAAAGTTAGATCGTTTATATATAAGATAAATAGTAAGGGTCTTAGATTCGATCCTTGGGGAATTCCTGAAGTAGGCTTTATTATTGATGAACGATATCCTTTATAATCAACATATTGACTACTGTTAAAAAGGTACGAGTTAAACAACGACAAAAGATCTAGGTACAAAGTGTGTTCCCAAGCTAAGAAGCTGTTTCGGGATATTCTAATGGTTTTGTGATCAGTAGCTGTTTGTCAACTTTATGCCTCAATCAAAATAAATTTGAATCTGTTCAATAGTTTATTGATTGAAGGGAGCAAGCAGTTGTCCAAGATACTTTTTCTGTTCTGAGTTTGATCTAGGACAAAAATCTTGCAGGCTCTGAACCACCACAAGTTATGAACTACAGTGTGACAATAGTTCTTCAGATAGTATTCCAGGCAAGTTCTTATCTGGGTCTTATACATAAAAAAATTCTTCCTAGTTTTCAAGCAACTATTGCAATCTTCATCTAAAACAAAACTTAAAGAGGTGATTTAGATCACATTCATTTTTGGGGGTTGTCAAATCTTCGCTCTTGTGTTGGAAGAAATATATTTGAATTTCGGAAACTGAAGAAGATATCTTATAAAACCTCTATATTATAATCAATATCATTTGACCTATATTTCATGGTATACTGTCACCGCCAGAGGAAGTCAGTCAGAAGTAGGGTCACATTCTGAAAACAGAGTGTGAAAAACTTATCACAACCCAGTTTTGATGCGAAATTGTGCGTGTGAATCTTGGAGGACAAGTTTCGACAATTCTCAATCATAGAAACAAGTGAAAACACTCAGAATATATATACGTATATATACAAATTGTTGATATTTCGTCAAAATAAAATTTTTTGAAGATACATTAACAGTCTGACAAAACAATGTTTCAAAATCTGTAGTTTTGATCAAGTTTTTACTTCAAAGCCGTAAGTACTCTCTCAAGTGGATTACAGATACTCTGATACTGTTATCATATTATAAAAGATTTATATATATATAACATGGAAACATTATTTCCTTATAAAGCACATTCTTAATATTAATCACTTCATCAACTATGACAAATTTGCATGCCTGGCAACAATATGTGTAGGTATGTGATTGAGATGCGGTAAAATATAATACACATAAGCTAAATGATACCGACAAACTGGTGCAAATATATTCACTAAACAAAAACAAAGCGTTTCTACCATATAAACACATACTAAAATCAGATCTATATTGAGGTTTAAACCGCGTGCTTTGAAAGTAATAATAATGTTAATAATAATAATTTTGACGGAGTTTAAAGGATTTTTCACTGAATACTTGATTGTAAAATTTTTGTAATTCCCGTAATCTTTTTGAAAATTCCGGTAAATTATTTATTTTGGTAGAAAGTATTAATTAGGTAATGTTAAGATGGGCTTAGGTTAACCTTTTTGTTATTAATGGACTTAACATACTTTAGCAGTAGTTAAAAAGACTATATTTGGACTTGACATGATGCTAAGTCCATTAAAATATGTGCTAACCGGTCTTGACATATCGAGGAAAACTAAATAAAATAAAAGTAAAGCATTTTTTGCAAGAAATCATATATTTTGTGAACTACAAATAGTATTCCTATCTACAAATATTTACAAATATCATTAAATTCAACTTAAAAACGTACTCTATGAACTGTATAAAAATGACTATATTATACAAGAAAAATGTACATACTTTAAACTAATTAAAAAATGAATACGAGACTAATTATTTATTACTCAGTCTGACAATTTGTATGATTTAAGTTGGTGTAAAATTCATGAAATCTGCGAAGAACCCATTGCAACAGTTTTTGGAAGTGTTGATATTTCTTTGTTGAAATTTGTTTGGGCCTCTGTCTAATAGGGCTTAAAAATTCTGGAACCCCAACTGATCGATGGCTTTTTTCATTTAAGTCCACTGTGAAAAAAGTTTCTTGTTCAAAATTTGTTTTGTAGAACAAAATGCCTGAATTTACTTTTCTAACCTGTAGGTGTACGGTATTTGAAAGAAGAAAGTCTGACCCTTCCACAATTTTTTTATGGGACAAAAGGCGCTGCTGAACCTTCAAATAGTACTTTAAAATTCATGAAATCGTCTGTTGTCATTTCAATGGCATTACATTTCATTTTCGAGTCACATATGCGGATAAGCTGTTGCCAGTCCCAAGTTGTTATTATTTTAAACTGACTGAATTTCTTTCTTTAGCTTTCAATAATCACTGTCAGCCTTTAAGCGAGTATGTCCTGGTACAAGAAATGTATGGTTAATATTCCTAGTTTTAACATCCAGAAGTAGGACATGACAACAAGTATGTTCCGGTTCTGAGAAGGGCAGTTATCAAACCAAAGGGTGAGGATTTCTATATCTTCTGAAATATTCGTTTGTACCCACTTTACTAGGCAGGAAGCAACCCCGTTACCTCGTAGACCTGAAATAGTCTCGTCCCACATTAAACAATTAGCATTTTCTTCCGTAGCATCATGAATTGTAAGATTGCATATCCAAGGTTTTAAGCAATAAAAGATTTGTGAGTTATGTATATCAGGTGTTGGAAGGCATTTCTGGAGATTTACCATAGTTATCTTTTCAGACCGTCTGTTATTTCGCTATTTTTCTTTATCTTCCTTTTTTCTTCTATACCTAGAATCTATAGAATCTTTAAGGTGAGACTCGTATTGGTTTTGAATTGCTTGTTCAAGGCCTGCACAATGAGCTTCCTGCAGCAGCAGATTAAAGTTGTCGCAAATATCGCAAGTGTCAGTATCGGGATTTTTGAAAGCATAATGAAACTCAAAATTAAATGTTTCAGTATACAACCACTCTTTGGATATCTTGTCTGCCGGCATAGTCGACTCAAGGCATTCTTCTAAATAAAGATTGTACATGCGAGAGATATCTAAGAGATTCCCTAGATATTTTCTCTTACTTTTTTCATGGCTATGATGTGATTCGTGAGCTGGGAATTTTGATGTGAGTCTTACGCCATTTCTAACATCTTCATTTATTTTATTTTCCAGTATATGTCTTCCCCTTTTGTCTGGGGTTAAAACTCCGCCATCCTTTTTTTAAGAATTGCAGTATCAACAGTTTGGTGAGAAATATCTAATGTATCTAGGAAAAATAATATAGGGACATGAACATTCAGATTATCAACTTCAAATAAAAATATTGGTTCATATGCTTTCTCTGGCCTGATTTTGTACCTGTCCGTTCTCGAATTCTTTTTATCTGCATTTGTTCAACGTATGAAGCGATAAATTGCACTCTCGCTTCGAAAGTATTGTTACCACTCCAAAATTTTTCATTAATATGTAGACGTTTTTGTGGTGGAATATTAGTTTTGGAAGCATATCTGCTCTTATCAGCATATGTACTTTTTTCATTATCTTGATTGCGATAATTGCCGCCACTATCTCTGGTTGAAACTTTTGCCAGAGAAACAATCATTTTTTTCTTCTTCGAGATATTATATTATAATTTTGGGGTCGGACTTAGCTTGTAATTTCAAAAGCATACTTGAAAACTATAATAGCTACCGA